TTAACCAGCCAGAATCAACCGCGATTTACCACTCAACCAGAAGGGTATGGGATAATAAATGGGATTATCCAATAATAGTATAATATATGTATAATACCCATAATATCAGATAATTATCCCATAATACTTGATCAATGGGAATAGATTCGATTGTTTTGTCCAGACATGGGGATTTTCACCACGAAATAGTGACTGTGACCTCGTGAGATTGAAATCCAGTAGGGAGATCCCTCTGCGAAACTGCGGCCGAACTTTCCGTTTTAAACCAAAGAAGTTGACGATTCACAGATGACTGGAACATTTACGGAACATCCTTGTGATGGGAAAAATACACATCGGATTCAGCTGTTTTTTTTTTACCATGTTTCAACCATGATGAATTTCCTGCCGGACCCCAGATCTGCCGAGGAAAAACAAGTCCAAAGGTAGAAGGAAAGAAAAGAAAGAGAGACTTGGGCAGCGAAAGAGTTGTCATGGTGGCATAATGGTATCATAATGGTGGCATAATGGTGGCATGGATACGGAGGTTTCTTAGCTGGGGGATCCCCAGTCGTCATCGGTTTCGATACTAAGTCATGGTCATCCATGACTGGATGATTTGGTGGTACCCTCGTGTGGCGGCCTCCATATGTAGATGACTTAAATGGGATGATGATATACTCAGCGAGCTATTGGGATACCCTCCAGTAGACATAAGCAACAAAAATATCGCCTATAATTGGAGAATTTTCCATTGATGTTTCTCAGTGGGCTTGATGTTGATACCTTTGCTGTCACGGTCTGCTGGGGGTGAGTGCATGGAATCCAACTCAATGGCTGCACAGCATGGTATGTTTTTCTGTCATCGCTTGGGGTAGCGCATTCTACCGGGAGATTGCAGAATGCATATTGGGATAGTGTACATCATAATTTTCGATTCATGGAGTACTAAACAAATGGAATACATATGTCCTGTTTGTTTGCAGAATGAGCACCGTGAAAATCGGCTCAGGAAAGACTACGAGGACGCCACAGTGGGCCAGCTGTTTTCGACAAAGATTGGAATTTGACAGGTGAAACATGGTGAAACTATCAGTCTATAGGGGTTCAATGTTTTTTTTTAAATATCATCATCCATTATGTCACTGGTTGGTGGTTTGGAACATTTGGATTATTTTTCCCATCATATTGGGGTCATGTCATCCCAACTGACTTTCACTCCATCATTTTTCAGAGGGGTAGGTCAACTACCAACCAGGTCACTATGTCACTATGTCTGGCAGTGTACCTCCAACCAAATGCTTCGATTTTTGGTGACGCCCCCCAGCAGTTGCTTGAGGAAACCCACTAACTATACCCATATGCTCCATTTATGGTATATTTACCTACAAAACTGGATGATTTTTATGGTATATTTACCTACATGGAGCATATGGGATAGAGTTGCTGTAGTTTTGTCCCCCCGAATCAGCCGCAGTTCATTCAACTTATGATTTCCATAGGCCAGTTGGGTCACGAAGCATCTATGGCCTGGTCTCCAGGTAGAGTTTTGATGTCAATTTGAACCAGGGGATGTTTGATGTTTGTACAGATCTCTGACTGATTCCATCCCAGTTCAACGTTTTTGTTGGTCCAATCTCCATGCTGTACTCATTCTGTCCATCGTTTTTCAAAACTTCGATCTACTGTACTTCTATACAATGATCCTATGTACATACCTAGACCCTCCAAGTACCCATAGACATGGTGTGTTTTTTTGCCCCACAATCAAATAGGTCAGTTTCCCCCCGCAGGAGCGACTCAAGGCTGTATCGCAGGGGTAGCGATAGCGGTTAAGCATTGGGCTGGGATATGTATGAACCATTATTATAACATGAGTGGATAATAAATTTTGATATCATAACAAGAATGTTATACAAAGATATACAAAGGGTGACATTATTATAGGATCAATGGGATATAATTAAGCCGGGACTTACATATGATAGTTAATGGTCTTTTCCACTGTTTTCAGCAAAAGCTTGGCACCAGCATTGGCTTATGGAGGAAACAGTCAAAGTCCTGTGCTTTCAGTTTGTCACTTAATGGTATATTCAAATGAGAAATTATATAAATGTTATAACTTATAACACATCAATTCCAAGGAGTTATTCCAGGGACTTTTATAATGGGATATTGTAATGGAATATAATTAGAGAGGGCCCTGGTTGATTGGTGATTAGTTGTAAGTTAAACATGTTCAAATATCATGGCTTTGTTAGGATGTTTAACAAACATATGGGGATATCAGTGATAAATGATGATTGATTAGTTATGAAGTAGAGAATTGTTAAACCACCTGGGTTGTTGAGGATTCTGAACTAACGCATAGGCCATAGATGGGAAACCTATCCACCAATGAGTATTTCATGACATGGGATAGGGGTATTGATGGGTATTGTTGATGGCTCGAATATCTTGGGGAGCTAAAATCCACCAAATATACTGTCCAAATATGTATCATAGTGATTTGGTGATATTGATCCACCAATTTGAAGGGTTTATCATTTGATCAAATGGGATTTAACCAAGTGGGAGTCAACCAACAATGCATGTCAATGGTGACTGCACCCGCATTTTTTCAGTCCACCGTCACATATTTTCATGGAGAAGATTACACAGCAATGATTTTTGAGGTGCCCCGTTGGACCATGGTACACTCTTTGGATATGGATGATGGGAAAACTTGCAGGAAACCTCTATATTTGATGGTAAAAAAACATGGTTTCCGGTGACGATGTTCCCAACAAAACCAATCCATTGGTACAATCTTTGGAGATCAAGTTACGAAACATGTCAAGGTACAGCAATATAGCTGATTTGATTTGATTTGATTTGATAGAATATGGCCTCTCACAGCTACGGAAAGTCACTAAGTCAACATGTTTTGATAGGTCAATTATCTGCTTGCACGGGCCATTTTCCATAGCTATATATTATATTAGATTGCCAAATGGTATATGATAAAGAATAGAGTAAATGTGTGGGAAGTTCATGGTAGATATTCGATTCGAATAAGGAACGACATCTACATACTATTACCCATAGATATTTCTACAGATTCCATTTCCAATAGCAATATGACAAAAAGGTAGCTATGGAATCCTTCATTCACCTGAGTAGCAGGTCCAAGTACCACCCTCCAGTAACAGTTTCTAGCTGAAAAATCACCTTGTTTTCAATAGGTTTAGACAGGTAAATACATGATCATAGATGATCATAAGTGTACATAATTGACATTGTTATGGATTTGCCATCTTTGCCTACATGTTGCCATGTTATCGATCATGGTATACCCTCTGGTAAAGTAACATACCTATTGAACATTGCCATTTATAGTTGATTTACCCGGTTAAAAATTGTGATTTTTGATAGTTATCTTAGTTTACCAGAGGGTATAAGTGCATGGTTTATCGAATGTTCATAGATTTGCCATGCTTCGTGTTTGCAAGAGGTGTGGTCCGATGGCACCCAGATGTTTCAACGCACCAACGGTTAACATAGCCTCTGGTTAGTAGTGGTTAATAGTGGTTAAGAGTGGTTACTAGTGAATAATACATGGTGAAATAGTGGTTAGTAGATTTACCATTCTTAATTGAACAATGTATATTAACCATGGTTAGTAGTGGTCAACATTCGCGATTAATGGTAATACAATGATGGTTAATGGAGTTGTCGGACCCATATCCCCAGCTGCCGGGAAGGCGCAGGTCGAGTCTTGCAGGACAGGGGACGACATGTGTCACATGTTGTACATATATAACATTTAAGCTACGTATGTATATACCTATATATATATACATATGCATTATAGTATTATATATATATGATAGTATAGTAAATTATATATATACATAATTGTATGTGTGTATTGTGTATGCATCTTGTATACTGCAAACATACCACAGAGATGTCCATGGATTCCAAGGGCACACATTTGAAACTTGCATAGTTACACTGATTAATGCTGATTTGTTTGTATAGTATGTTCGATCATCAATTTTCTCATTTGAATCTTTGTATACTATAGTATAGTATGTGTTTTTTTTTAAGTATGTTCGATTCATTAATGTTTTCATGTTTTCTCATTAGTATCTTCAATTAGGATTATGTTTGTCATCGGTATGTTGCCAACGTTCCCTTCTTGCGTGGTTGATCAAGATATCCCTTTCCCTTTGGTTGATCGCAAGGTCATCCCGATTTTTCCCAAAAGACACCATTGCCCCATTGATTTTCCATGGAAAGATGGGCTAATAGATTGGAATATTGATATCATGGGGCAATATAACCAGATTTTAGTGCGCATAGTGGAGAATTTCTCTATTGCAACTTAGATTTTTTTTTTGCATGTGTGAAATTTCAAGAGATCCTGGGATTTTTGGACATCCAATATTCCCTAAAAGTCCCCCAAACGTCAGGAGCGAGACCAAAGCCGTCGCCGTGAAGGCGAGGGGCTCAGTAGGACTTGGGACTTTCTTTCGCCTCTTTATTTAAGGTTCTTTGGTTAATCTTTGGTTAATCTTTGGTTAATCTTTGGTTAATCTATGGTTAATCTATGGTTAATAATTGGAATAACAATATATCTGGTTGGTGGTTTGGAACCTTTTTTGTTTTTTCCATATATTGGGAATAATACTCCCATTTGACTAACATTTTTCAGAGGGGTAGGTCAACCACCAACCAGTTATGGTGAGGAGGGGTACCCCGTGACGACTGGGGATCCCTACCGTGACTTTGGAAACCTCTAATTGAGCAGTGTTCAATACCCCTGTTGGTTGATGATTGGGGATTATACTTCCCAATATATATACATACATATATATATATACATATGTATATATTGTGATTGGCACCCTGACCAAGCGTAGCCACCAAAAGATGCCCTGCACCTTTTCCAAGACGCCAATGGCTCAATCGCCACTCCGCAGCCCACCCCCTTGAGATGAGCGCGCGAAAGCAAAGGTTGGACATGCTGATGTCACTCAGTTGACAGTTGGACCTGGAAATTGAGTAGATTTCACACTCCCCTTAATCTGAAAAATAGTCCTACCAGTCCAACTGAAAGGTGTGACAGCATGACCACGTGAACCTGGCCAAAAATCCTTTTCATTCCATTGTTCCCCGTTGGATGCGTTTCCAATAGTAACCCTTTGGACTCCAAGCTCCCGGATATCTACCGGACAGCCAGCTACCCCTATTGGTGAGAACAATCTTCTTCGGGGAACATGGTGAATTCGGATGACCTGTCCTTGTGAATTGACTTCCCAAGCGTCCTCCAAAGGGACAACTGAATTCGTTGGAACTTCATTGATTTCTGACGTGACTTCTTTTGCCCATTTCAGCCGCTGTTTCTTGTCTGACCTCTGTTGAAGAATCCTTCCCTCATCATAGAGAGCATACTTCCCACTACGTAAACACTCCCTTAGAACAGTGGAATCCATACTTTTGGTAAGACAGTCAGCCAGTTGAGCATTGGAAGTCACCCAACGTACCGTGCAGTTTGACTGCAGTCGTTCACGAATCAGCAAACATTCTATGGTGGTCCGATGCTCTTCACACTGTGGCAGAGCCGTTCTTGTCAACAAATCATAAGCGCTTTTGCAATCCGTGACAAGAGATGCCCTTCGGGCCTTGCAAAGTGCTTCTTCGGGACTCCTCCAATCCACTTCAGGGTTATTGAGCCACTCCCACAGCAAGCGGATCCATAGAAGCCTGTCAACTGCTCCACTCAACGCTATGGCCTCAGCACCTAAAGTGCTTCGGGTAACCCGATGGATCTTTTTACTGATCCAGGCAACCGGAGCAACAACCGCTTTTCGGTTTTCTAAAAGTTCTGGAGTTGTTGCAAACACAAGACCACCTTGGTGAGCATATTTCTCTTTTCCAGAAAGAAAGGAGGCATCTGAAAAGGCACAAAAGGAAACAAGTGATGGAGCAATGGGAACAGCCATAATTGTGACCTGGTTCACCTTGGCCTCATGAAGAACCTTGTTTGCACCAATCAAATCTTGAACAGTGGCCTTTGGAACACATGCCTGGAGCTCTCCAATCTTTGCTGCCAAGTCCGGTCTCGCGTGGACCGCAGCGTACTGCAAAGCCCCTACCAAACTTCTGAGCTGCGTTGTTTCTTCCGCAGTGATCTGGCTATTGAGTTGGGTCCTACGATGACGAGGAATTTCAAGAGGCTGAATCCTTTCGATGTACTCAATTTGGTCATACTCAACACTCTTATCATCCCATTGCTTGAAACGTATCCCCGTAAAAGTGAAAGACCCCTTTTCAAAGGAACCAAAATTGAAATGTTTTCGAATCCTGTTCAAAGCGTCCATGAACTTGGAATCACCACCTCCTATCCCATCATCAACATGCACTCCAATCGAGCCATGGACAATGATTTTCCCGGAACTGTCCTTGGAAGTGAGGGTGAAAACACAAGGATCCATTGGACACTGTTTGAACCCCTCACTCAGCAATGTGTCACGAAACTTGCAGAACCACAAATAGGGGGCATCGACCCTACCATAGGCCCCGCCCATGAGCTGACACTGGTCACCTTCAGCCATGCCAAGTGCTTCTGCCAGTTCCGGTGGTGGATGAATTCCAAGCAAACGGCCATCCCCTTCGCCATGCAAAAAGGCTGTTGATATGTCAAAGGATATAAGATCCCAGCCATGGCTACTGACCTGTTGAACAATCATTTGCCGACCATCCTTTGACAACGTAGGACTGTCGTTCTGAACAACACCAATACCAGGGTCCTCAAAACCAACAACCACTAGCCTGGCCTTTCCTTTCTGTCCATTTGACACATCATTTGGATGGTCAGCTGGGGATGCACTCTTCCACGACAGGATCCAACGACACCTCATGATTGATGCTTCGGGGATTTTCCCTTTAGCAACCTTGCGAACTGTGGAGTGCTTCAACCAAGCACCAATCTCTTTGTGTTTCGCAATGGCCATCCTCATTTGATCTTCACTCTTCAACGTACTGAGTTTGACCTCCACTTTTCGCTTTTTCGTGTCGGACACTGTCAGTACACTTTCATCAGCTGAGCTGGCACACAACGCTGATACTTCCTGGTGTTTTTCCAGAGGTATCTCAATTTCCCAAAGATCCCAACTATGTTCCTCAGATACAAAACTAACATCATCCCCAAACAACAACAAACCAGATTCATCATCATCATCACCAACAGAAACATCAGAAAAATCAGAAGGTACAGGAACCTCATGTGGCTCAACATGTTCAGAGTCGGAATCGGGAATCGGTATCTCTCTGGGACTGAGAGTTTTGTCGCCGTCAAAAACTGGTGGTTCAGACGCGGTTTGAGATTCAGCTGATTTCTCACCATCAGGTTCTGCAATGGACTGTTCCAAAATTGATGGCTCATATTCACTATCATCTAGATGTACAGGAATCTCATCTGCTTCAAGGTCTATGAACCCTCCATCTTTAAGAGTCTGAGAAAATGACGACGGAGAAACGTGCCCAGGAGTTTCAGGTGTTTTCATTTGTTTCCATTCTCTGAAGCTGGCTGGACGGATCTGCTCAGGACTAGCACGGATGAGTTTGCCACTGTGATTTAACCAAACATTTCGACTACCCTCAACAGCAACTACACTGGCTGGACCAAACCAACGCCCTCGCTCCCTCTTCAAATTGGCCCCCTTTTTCCTCCAATATAACACTAGGTCTCCTACTTCATAGGGTCCCCTCAGTGGCCTACTTCTCCGAAGCAATGCACGCCGCAAACTTGATGAATTATCGGCATCTATGAATGCCTTTCTGGCGAGGCTGCGGCATTCCAGCGACTGGCGGAACCTGTCACTTGCAGGTCCTTCGCCCTCTGCAAGAGACAAACTGCCAGCGCCAGCATCAGATGTCAATGACCCCGGAAGCCGACGAGCTATTCCCAAAACTGCCTGTTCTGGAGAGTAACCCTTAATTCTTGATAAACTGTTCTTTGCATTGAAGGCCTGAGTGAGGGAAGCTTCGAATTCCCCTGGCGTCCTAATTGGTCTTTCGGCATCCATTTTGTCCAACATCCTTTTGATGATTGATCCATGAATTTCAACACGGCCTAGTTGCCAATGGGCTGAACCAGCTGTCATCTTGATGTGCACATCCAGAGACTGCATCTTATCCCTCCACAAATCAGACCTGTACTCTGCCGCGGGATCCAGGTACACTGTCTGTGGTGGACCTGCCCAAAGGAGCCAAACTCGTTCAAAAATCTTGATTTGAGTTTCTGTGTCAGCGCTGGTCACAGGAGCACCTACATGAAACAAGGTTCCCTCGTCAATGACATGAGTGAAAGAGTATTGATGTCCAGTCCCACTCGTCCAAACACAAGTATCAACCCCCACAACCTGATTAAAACCCAAATCATCATGAATAACTGCTGGCCTAGACAACTCGAAACCTCGTTTTGATTCAGTGCAACTGTCACATTGAAAGTCCGCTGCTCCACACACGATCTTTGGATCGGCATGTCTCTCCTTCAGAAACTTGACGAAACGGTCAGTTGCAGGGTGACCCAAATTATGGTGGAGTCTTCGAAGTTGAGATTGCTCTTCCAAGGTAAGTTCCAGAAACCCAGGTCCATGACGTGCTACATTCCTAGGTACCTGCCTAGGGTTAATCTCCATGTCAACATCTCCCATTTCCCCAACACTTGAATCCTTACCTTGGTACCCCCCTTCATCATCCACTTTTTCTTCATCTTTGGACTTCTCTACAACAGGACTATTTTCTTCATGGGGGGGATTCTGAGCAACCCGACTTCCAAACACAGTTATACTCATTTTGGCTGGTATCCCCTTTCGGGTTCGTTGATATTTAGGAAGTTCCAGCCAGTTTTCTACCGGACCCAAGACTTGTGCTTGACCAGAGCTGCGGTCTTTGACCACGGTCACACGCAGGGGAATCTCCGATTGATCCACACTCGGATCAGGAACTCTCAAACGCTCCGTCCCTCGACATACCTCAATCCTCCTGACCTTCATTCCTGGGATACCCCTCTGAATCTCTTCAAACTCACTTCCCTCAAGATATACCCTTTTTCCAACTCTTGGAACTTGAGTATTGATTTTGGAGAAAACCCCATTCCAGAACTCACCATGAGCACAGCCAAAAGGTCCTCGCGGAGGTTGTTTGCTTCCGTATTTCTGGCGTTTGACACCAGGTGTGTGCTCATCCGGAGCATCCTGAATTACTGCTTCCCTCTTTCGAGAGACCACTGCCTGTACAAATGCCGGAGTTGTGTCACCAACCAACAATTCATCACGAATCAAGGGCTCATGAGTTATCCCACATGATAGATACCTGGCTACATTCTTTGCAAACCCCGACGAGTACCTAGCAGCGAACTCTGAAAGAGAGATCCATCTTCCGAGATGGTGAATCTTGCCAGCTATCTGGCTGTGCTGGTGTTTTCCAGGACACAAACGCCAGTCAAAGGCCTGGTGGAAAATCTTGGAGGAAGTGAACACATTTGTTCTTTTTCTAAGGAAATTGTTGCCCCGGAATCTTACCTTTGCCCATGGTGCCAACAGCTTTCCTACCTCACACATGTCAAAAGTAGTGCACAACGTACCCTCATAGACATCCCTCAATTCTGGTTGATATATGGCCTCAGAACCCTGGGGCTGCTCCAAATGAAAATGACCTCCTACTTCCATCTGATGCCAATAGATGTCATTACACAAACGAAGATGGGTTCTTTGTTGTTGCCTACCTTCTAGTATTTTGCTTGCTGTGCTGATGCTTCTGCCCATGTTGCGACGGCTGTAGTTGCCCCAGTACTTGCAATCCGGCGCAACCCAAATTTCCTTGGGCTTCTCCTCCAAGATGACCTTCCACAGTGCAGTTCGGCCAGCGCTAGTTGAAAGGTCGCCATCTTGGAAAGTAAATCTCTTAGCTCTGAGACCAAGCCGTCGTGCTTGTTCAGTAAGTTGAGAATTCTCTTCACAGTAGATTTCCAGAAGATCTAATTTCCAAGGTGACCCCTTTCTTGATCCTGTTGGAACGGACCACACAGTCCTCAGCTTCTCCAGTTCTTTTTCGATCGACAACTGAGCACATTCAATTTGATGACAAAGGTCATGACTAATTGAAAATGCTGAGTCCTGCCGATGGTTGATATCTCGCTTACCCTTCACTTGTTCCCAATCTCCTGCTGAATCTTGTCCACCTCGCGCTGCAGGATCGCAAGGCGCACCATCTTGTCCTCCTTGGTCTCCTTTTCCAGATCGAATTGCATATCCATTTGTTCTTCCACCTCGATGGCACTTCTCTTCATCGGCCCATGACTGCTCTGACTCTTCACTTCTGGATCCACTGACTTGGGCGTGGAGAGCAGTTCCCATTCCCGATGACAAGGCTGGAGTGCCCCCGTGGTTGCTGTTGCAACCAGCTGGCGTAGATGGTGTTCCTTCTCTTGCTCGATCTTCAACATCTTGTCCCTGTGGTCGACTTCTGCTTGAAGGCGAAGACGAGCATATTGGTGAAAGCTCAGGGCCCATGCTGATGTGAGTCTGCTGTGAGAGGCCATGAAGCTCACATACTTGTTGTCGCGGAGATATGCCTCCGCAAAGGAATGTCCTTTCCACTTGCCCTCTGGCAACTTCATCTCGCCCCATTGTTGCAGATTGGTCACTCCGGGTGGACGTCGATGCTGGACAATTGGCCCTTGATCGAAACTCAAACTCGGATCCTCTTTGGCTGTCAGGGGCATCTCGAGATTGGGGCCCACATTCATAGCATAGGTCACCTCGCCCTTGTTCAGAAACATTTCCTTCGGCAGCGCCATGTGAAGACACACCGAGGGACAAGTCAGACGAATTGCGGAAATTGGGATCTCGTTCAGATTGAGGTTGAGCCACTTCAGCTGCTGGTGTCTGCTTTTGCTGCTGCTGAAGTGAACAGTAAACCTCCTTACTTCGATATGTTGATTCGTTACATGTCAGAGTGATCACTTCCTCACCTTGGGGCCTCCCTTCGATTTCACTGGCGGCTTCAATGAGTTCAGTCAATGCAACAGTGAACAAACCCTTGTTGTTCCTATGAAGTTTCACTTCAACACCCCACTGTGAAATCTTGAGAACAGCCCGACTGATTTGCAAATCGGCTTCAAGTGCACTCAAAAACGCATTTGAAATCAAAAATGGAGTCCAACCCTGCACCACTTCAATTTTCAGCCATCTTTTCCCAAACGGAACATAAACCGCCCCAAGACTTTTGAGGGTACCATTATTCCCAAAACGAAAAACAGTCTCCGACTTCTGCCAACGAACCAATTTTTGATGGCTTTCAGGAAGAGTGGCAAGCAGGCCTTTCACGCGTTTTTCTCCAATGACAGTCTTGCTGGCTCCTGTGTCAATGATTCCGGTTCCCTTTTCAACTAGACTTCTATCATGTTCACACTCAGCCGTCGGGGACCTGACGACACTGAAACCAGTTTCCAAAGCTTTCTTGAAGACTTGTCGGAACTTGTTGGTGGACAATTCACCAAACTTGGATTTTAAACACTTTGACTCATGCAAAACATGGGAAGTCATGAAAACGAATTCATCATGTACCAGATGACACTCCGGTGGCATCAAATCAAAAATGGGTGAACTCTCCGACCCGGCCTGCCACATGCTGATTTCCACATTCGTGGGAAGCTGAGAGACCAGTTCGGTGTCGGAGTTGCCATTCTCCTCGACCAGCAGGTTGGCATCTGCAGCAGGACTTTGACGATCTCGTTGAGGACATTCTTGGCGCCAATGTCCCCTCATGCCGCAAATGCGACAGTTGGAGTTCGCTATGCGCTCCGCCAGCGTTTGGCGGTTCTTCCCAAACCCCTTGCCGGTGCCGTTTTTCGACTTGCCCTTTGCTTTACCTCCTTGTCTCAGAGGCCAGAACCCACGGTTCCTCGCTTTGTCACGAAGTCGAGCTCGAGCATCTTGGTAAGCCGAAAAGGCCATAGCTAACTCCGGGCTGTCTTGGCACACCTGAATGATGTTCTCCTCAAACTCTTGGACCACCATCGCACTTTCGTCTCCTTCTTCCAACAGAGCAGCCATGACTGACTCCTCATCAGGTTCATCATCATGTAGTTGATTGATCTCCTCGGCATCTTCATCCACATAGTTGATCGGGTAGATCTTCTTGCGGCTCACTTCTCCTTGACTCAAAACCTTGGTAGAGAGTGCCCTCATTGCATTCTCCATCTTTGTTGGATCATACCCATCTGCCATTGCTATCACTCGTTTCTTATCCTCTGCACTCAACCCACTCTGCCTCAGGAGCACGAAAGCTTTGACCTGCTTGACCGTGGTGTCCTCTCCAACCTCTGTGAAAGCCACATTGATACGGTTGACATAGGACATTGTTGTTTCATCCTGCTTCTGTAGCGTCTTGTAGAACGCCTTCTCAAACAGGTCATACGTTTGAAGCTCAGCTGATTCCTCCCAGGTAGACAATGCCCCCAAGAGCACCTTGTAGCCCTCAGCCTCCGTGAGCTTTGTTGGATCGATCGATTTCACCTGACTCCAAGCCGTCCCTTTGCACAACATCGGTCGATCCTTGGCTGGGCATATGCCCCACAAAAACTTCACCTTGTCCGAGTACTCCTTCACATTGTCCACACTTGGATCAAATGAAGGTAACAAATTCCAAAGGCCTTGGTTGGCCTTCTCTTCAGAGGCAGACGACGTTGCCTCACCTTCAGGCATCCCTATGCCTCCTCAAACCCTTTTCCCAGTGCTCCTCACCAGGTAGTTGCCTTTTTCCAAGAGGACCCCTGCCTCAAACTTTTCCTCCAAGTCCCGTGGATCAGGACTCCGCTGCCAATGTGATTGGCACCCTGACCAAGCGTAGCCACCAAAAGATGCCCTGCACCTTTTCCAAGACGCCAATGGCTCAATCGCCACTCCGCAGCCCACCCCCTTGAGATGAGCGCGCGAAAGCAAAGGTTGGACATGCTGATGTCACTCAGTTGACAGTTGGACCTGGAAATTGAGTAGATTTCACAATATATATAGGGGATTATAACAATTCAATAGGGGAATCCCTATAAACTAACCAGTGATAGAGGGATTTTGAACACTGCTCATCTTTTGGTGATTTACATCGATATGCGATGGTATGGGTTTGTTTGGATATGATTTTTAATGGGGCCCCTGCCCCCAATCTATGACAAACACATTGGAAGGGGTATGAAAGGCTCATAAAGTGAAGGAACAGTTTTTGAACGAGAAAGGCTTAGGGAAAGTGACAGAATGGGAAAGTGACCTTAGAACCATCAATAGCTTAGGATTCAGCTATCGACTTACGGTTCTAGTTCAAATGCAATGTTCTGAAGTTGAGGCTTTGGGATTCCGAGCTCAATTTCATTGGGCCTTTAAAGGTTTTTGTTCTCAAAAAACTTAGAGTTTCATCATATTTCATCATGTTTCATCATGTTTCATCAACTTTTATCCATCCAAAAATGGGAAGATGATCAACTTTTATCCATCAAGAAACCCTGATCCAAGTTTCATCTTCCCATTTTTGGATAAAAATGGTTTCGTTACGGCCAGGGCGGATGCTTCACTTGGGTTCGTGGTGAACTCTTGGGCCGCGGCAGCCTAGGGAGTGTTTGGAAGGCAGGTGCTGGCGAAGTCTGGGATGTGGGGCCGGGATGGGGCCTATCTGATATAAGGGATATATATATACATACATACATACATATATATATAGACATATGTAATTATATACATATGTAATTATATATATATGTAATTATATATATATATGTAATTATATATATAATCATATATTGTATATATAAGTGTTGCAACATGATGATATATGATGATATATGATGCTACTGAGACTGGTTGGGGTTTTTCAAACATTTTTTTGGCAATTGGGGTAACAAAGGGCTAAGGTTAGGGGATGCAAATGCTTAGACAGAGGTTTGTACATGCGGCAATAATCCTAAATACCGTTGGGATATTGTGGATCATTGCCAACGTGAATGGCTTTGCGCAAGCTATTGGGCCCCTATTCCATTGGAGATTTCGGTATACTCAATCATCGAATATCCCGTTTGCACGCCTGCCTTTGCACAGAGTGACACACAGTTAATGGCATGTGTTCCACCTTTTCTATCGGGATTGCTGAAGTGTTCCATGCATACGTATTATGCATACTGTATGTATGTACGCATGCATGGCTTACATATATACACATATACATATGTATGTACGCAACGCATAGGTAGTTGTATGATGTTATATGTATAATTATACACAATACACATACATATATATATATACGTTTAGATATACATAATTTAACTGTATAGACACATAGTAATGCAGCTGCCATGTGCTTCCCTACCGCTTCAACCACAGGCCACGGACAAAAAGACCGGCAAGACCATGGCGGTGAAGGCGCTAGCGATCGTAGCAGGGTACCATTGAAATCAGAGATGATACCATTGGGGGGTAAGCGCTGGAAAATTACAGGGAATTCTGGGTGAACTCTGGGTGAATGATGGGTAAATTCAACAATCCGTGGTTGACATGTTCATGTGTAAACATGGATGGTAAGATGCCATGGTACCCCCAAAAAATCTGACGTCGGGAGGAAGTCATCATTGACAATCTGGACGATTCCGAGAAGGACTTCTCCCAGTCTTTGCAGGTGGGAATTCGTCGACAAGTCACTGTTCTAACCTCAACAACATATAGTGTGTATATAATATATAATTATACACATATGTAATTATAATTAATTATAGGTAGTTGTATGTACATATACATAATCTTGTTTTTCTGCAACTTACCTTAAGAATACATTGGATCTGATGGGGATAGGGGGTATAAGGAACACATTGGGCTTTTGACCAAGCCTTGATTGTGACAAAAGGTTGATGTGATAGTAGTATAGTCATGGAGTAGATGAGGGTTGTATATTGAAACTGGGAATATTGAATTTTACCTAATAAGATCCAAAAAGCTATCATTTCATCGAGGATTTATCCCCATGAATGCAACAATAACGGGAACATCATGATGGGTGCGTCAATGTTGGTCGTGAATATTCGATGGTATCCAGCCAATTGCATCCCCACTTCATCCATATTTATTGATTACCCTCTGGTAAACTAACAGTTTGCTATTGAAACTGGCCATTTAGAGTTGATTTATCCATTCAAAATGGTGATTGTCCATATATATATATATATGTGTAAACGTTTACCGGAGGGTAAATAATGTTTCAAATCACGGTTAAATCATGTCAAATCCAGTCCTCCCTGCAGGTTGAAATCGATTTGTACAAACAGTTGAAGCATCCCAATATCGTGTCCTACCTGGGCAACGATCGCATGCGAGATCGCTTCTACATCTACCTGGAATACATGCAAGGACTGGACTGGTGGGACGTTGACTCTTGTGTTATATGTTGTCATTGAGTTTCAAACCGGTATAGGCTGGTATTTGTGTGCATATATATATACATATTATATATACATATGTACTGTACTGTATATATGCAACATATACATATAAATATATGTATTAGTTATATGTAGGTATATTAATGTATACAATATTATGAATAAATAATATACATATATATATATATATGCTTCACATTGGTCCTGAATATATGAATGAACTGAACATTTGTTGGTCAACCATGTAGTCCTGCCATGTTACAATGTTGGATGAGTTTGGGGTGCCATGATTTTTTTTCAGCTGCAGATGGACAAACCTGCACAGGTTCCGGGTTGGTTCTTTTTACCCTCTGGTAAACATACAAAAAACTATGGAAAACCACCATGTTTAATGGGAAAACTCACTATTTCAATGGCCATGTTCAAGTTCGCAAACTGTAAACGTTTACCAGAGGGTAGTTCTCCCTGATTTTCCATGATGTCCAAATAGTTCCATCAGATTCCAGTTTCGCTTCTTATCCCTTCAACAATTGCTCATCTCCGCAACTATAAGTCCAGCTATAAAAGGTGGTGTCCCCCCAGTTATAAAATAAGTTATAGTGTATAAGCCATAGTAAAGTACTATACACTATAAATATACCTACCATAAATCCGAGTGAAATTGGAGTTACCATCTGGTTATTTAGCATAGCCATGGAAAATGGCCCATTTATAGATGATTTTCCCAGCTAGAAACCTCCATTTATGGTTGGGATTTTCCATGGCTATGTTAGTCATAACCAGATGGTATGTTTCCCAAGTTCGCGATTTAGCTCACCGGGGCACCACAGAACGTAACCCCAGTCGTTGATGCTATTGCAGGAGGCTCCGTGTCGCAGGTCTTGTACCGCGATGGGCCCATGTCCGAGCCGTTGATCGCGTGCTATGCGCGACAGCTCTTGGAGGTGACTGCCTGAGGGTACACTGAATGTTACCCTATGCATTTTCTATATACAATTACTAGGAATCTCCTATCATCTATGCCTATATTATATTATATTATCATCTATTATGTTACCCTATGTAATTATATAATAGATTACACATATCTATAATTACTAGAGAATAGATGATAATAGAGTACTACTATAGATATTCGGTATTGTGATATATAATATGTCTATAGAACAGTAATTCACCACGAGGATACAGTAGGATCTCACTCTTGTAACATTGTCAGCATCTCAGACGGCCAAAAAAATCGATCCAAGTTCATTGATTCATGTCTGCAGGGCTTGAACTACCTGCACACGCGAGAACCCCTCATTCTACATCGCGATGTCAAGGGTGGCAACATCCTTGTTGGTGAAAAGAGGCTGGCCGTTGGCCTGTTTGGGTTTTCTATGTATGGCAAATGTTTCACAAACAAATAAGGGTAATCGGTCATGTAGACACATAGGATACATAGAATCACATAGGTATATACATAAATGTGTGTGTATATATATATATACATTAAATATTCCATATTCAATATATCAATGATTTGGGTAATAACTGAAGCAACACAATGGACTTTATTTCACACAATAGTTTTGTAAGTTTCATATGATATTTGTGTAGTGGGTGAAACAACGGGTGTCATGTTGTGATTGTTTTGGAGATCATGAGATGCCCCAAAAGGTTTCTGTCAGAGGATCCATGAAAGGGATGGGATTCCTAGCAGTTTTTTCATGTTTATCCCATAGCTTCCATAACCTCAGTTGAAGATATACTAGGATTCACTGTTTGTTTCTGCTACTGCTTCTTTGCTAGTTTTCGTTCTTCCCCACCTTGCAGGTGCCATCCACCCATTTGGTGGTTGTATATCCCATTCTATTTCATGACAGCTTCCAGATTTCCCATGAAATCCTATGATCCGCCCATTACTTCAGGGACAAAGGCCCACAAAGGCCTACCTCAGTCATGCGCCACAAGGTGATACCCCCGCCAGTTGGAAGTTGGATATAGTTATATATATATATTATACACATGTGTATATATATATATATGTATAACGGTGTATATAAACATAGACCCCGTTGACATCCATGAACTAGTTCGCTACAATTAAGAATTTTGGCACTGGGCGAACTAGCTCCACTATTCACCAACTTTGGGAACTAAACTGGGACACCAACGCTGGCAGGATAGTCAAGTTGACAGATTTCGGATGTTCCAAGCGTTCAGAAGAGACCTGCCACTCGGCGTTGCGGCGTTGCTGCTGCGGTGAGGATGGGATCGCCAAGGGAAAAATCCAAATTTCATATGATTTTTGAGATGTCGAAACATTTTTGGGGACACATCTGCCACATATAGTCCCCACATTGAATTTTTCGCACTCAATACAACATGGCTGGAAAATCCCGAAATTAAATGACGACTTTGGGAAATCCTCAAAGCAGAGGATTTTCCAGCCACGTTTGATGAAATTCGAAGTGGTCATGATTCGACTCTGTTCTGTTCCGGGCCCCATTTTTGGGCTTCAGTCAGAAGTTCCATCCTGCGCCGACCGG